TAGTAGTTAGAGAACCATTGGATTCTGGAACCAATATACACACCATAGATTTGGAATCAAAGTTTGCAGCTCCCCTAGATAGTCAGGTTGGAAGTGCTAGACGTACGCATTCGCCTTTTTACTATTGTTTGGAGCACAACCACCTCCGTGTGAAAGTTATGAATAATAGAACTTACCTGACAGAAGCTATGAATGCGTGTCCACATGAGAGCATTTGAAGGGGAGGACCAAAGTCTACCCAATTTGGTCGTACCAGGTCGTTTATAGGGACTTAAAAATATTTTCTGATTCCTGTTTCATAGGGGATGACTCTCAAGGTTGTGAACACTAGTGTATAATACTCTGGCGTTTGGAACGATGAGTGTTGCGGTCTCATGTTCCAGTGCAAACGCCACCACTCATCGGGATGCAGGTACATCTAGCTCTAATTGGTTGCAAACAATTCTAAATACGCCTCTAAGATTCCAGTATTAGCGACCACCAACCAAATAATACTCTGGCATACAGGAGTTGGTTCACCACTATGCAAGTTAAAAATGCCAATATATATATATATATCTTTTCTTTTATTTCAGCATGTACTCGAACATGGGAAAACTGAAGATAAAAGTAAAATTGTTGAACATATTAAAGGTCGTGTAGCTGAGCTTAGTGTGCATAAATTTGCTAGTAATGTAGTCGAAAAAGCTGTTGCAAACGCTTCAAGAGTAGAACGTCAATCACTCATCAATGAAGTACTTGAAGAAACAACTATTCCAACAGATAATAATATGACTGTACAAAATGGTCGAGTTCGTTCAAGTGAATTTAGAGTAGATAATACTGATGATGGTGATAATGATAATGATGATGATGATGATAACAGTGGCAGCGATGAAGATGAAAGTGTTGATGAACCAAGAACTCGAAGTTCTGTTTTAGTTATGATGATGAAAGACCAATTCGCAAATTATGTTATCCAAAAAATGTTAGATGTCGCTGAACAACCAATAAGAAAAGAGCTTATGACTCAAATTCGTCCACATTTGAATACCTTACGCAAATACACTTATGGTAAGCATATAATCAATAAAATGGAGAAATATTATATGAAAACAAATCAACTGCATCTGGCTGTTGGTTTAAATTCACCATCACCACCTCTTGGTGTTGTACCCGCCTCTTCATCAGATGTCCCACAGTCGACATCGAATTCCACTGTTCGAAGTGGTGGTGGTGGTGGTAGTTCATCAGCCGCTTCAATGCTCCCACCACTTCTCACACCGACTGATATGGCTGTACGAGCTTCAAAGCCAATATCAATGAGTCGTTCTACACATTCACATCATTATCATCATACTTCTCATTATAATAACCAATCGGGTTTGTCATCATTTTCACGCAACGGTTTCCATCATCATCATCACACCGTCTAAAACAAAAAGACTCAAATAATAGTAATAGTAACTCCTCTCGAAAGACTTCAAATGATGGTGCACAATTAAACTCCTCCTCTATGCAAACATCGGATAGTGCTAAAAATTCATCTAAAGCAGTATCAAAAGCATCTGAAAATACCAATGATGAATCGGGAGTGGATAGTGAAAATGGTAATAATAATAATAATAATAATAACGATAATAATAAAGGAGGAGTCAGTTTGAGTAATTCTAAAGATAATCATGAAAAACACAATTCAGATATGAAGTCATTCGATTTAAATCAGGCTTCATCTACATCACCAACAGTCGCTGGTGATTGTTGCAGTCAAAAATGGGAGAATAGTAATGATGCAGAACACAGTGTTGTATCAAATCATGACAACAGCGATCAGTTACTGCATGAATCAGCCAGTGAACATCATCATGAAGTGCATGTTTCAGCCCTGAAGAAACTCAACACTACAACAGCATCATCATCACCGTCTACGACGAGTAGTACTTCTACTACTACATCTAGCCTAAAAAGTGGTGAAGTAAATAGTGTAAAGTCAAGGCCACCTACAAATGAATTAATGACCAACGGGAATGGTAATCATTAATATGTTCTCTCTCTCTTTTCTTAAAAAAATTTCTCGCATGTATTCTCCTTTCCTCTAACTTTCTCTCCTCTAGAAGTGTCCAGAAGTTCTTTTCCTGCTTCGTATATTGTGTGCTTTATTCTATCTAGCTTTTTATTTTGTTTTTGGTGCAATTTTATTATCATTTGGCAGTGGTGGGTCTTAACACCTTTTTAAAAAGAAATTATTTCTTAAGGGTTTTATCCTTTCCCATACACAAATATTTTATTGCTAGCACATAGTTTATTTTTCTGAACTGATCTTCATTCTTCTTTTGGTGCTCATGGCTCTGAGTAGTTTTTAATTATTATTATTATTAATATTTTTAAATATCATTTAATTAATATAGAATATGAAGTAACCTTCCCTCCTGTATAAAGCGAAATCCCCTTTCATTGTGCTGTACAGCAGGAGACAATGCTAACTATCTAACTAAGTAACTAACTAACTAACTATCCCCTCTCTTTTGTTTCACTCATTCTTCTTTTACCCTTTTTCTGTATACTGAATTCCTTTCCAACCACTCCTATATTTTCCTTTTTCCCTACTCCTATCTGACCTGTGTGTGTATGTAGTATATCTCATGATAAGCTTTCCTTTTGACTAGTTTTTATCTTTGCTTATCCTGTCTATTTTGATGATTATGCACATATATATATGTATGAATGAACATTTATATTATTTTAGTATATCAGTTGTTTTCGTTTGTTTGAAATATTTCTTTTTAATCTTCAATGAAGTTTTCTGATCCTTACCAACACCACCAACATCATCATCACCAATCCATTTTCTTTTATTGCCTAAAAAACTGCATATTTTTATCTATTTATTTATTTGACTGTTGATCATTCTCTTTTTTTTCTCTCTCTCCATCCCTTCCTTCCTCAAAAGTCGACATATTGTGAAAATCCTCCTCCTCCTCTTGTCATTTGATTCATTGATTTGATTGTTTCTTCTTCTCATGTCTCTGATTTGTATGCTACCACCCACCCCAATTTTTCTGTATCTCTGTCTCACCGTCGGTATGTATCTGGGAGTCGTCAACTAGCTCGAACATCATCGCCACCACCACCACCGCTCTTCTCTCCCATCTCTCATCCACCTGTAAATCTGTGTATCTTTCAAGTACAAACAAAATATGATTTTTTTTCTACTGATATACAATAACAACAGCAACAATATTAATAATGATGAATGATTAACTGTCTCTCATTCAATTACTTCAACGTTTTGGGATTCTTTTTGTATACCTCTGTCTGTCTATGAAAATAATGTATATCTATCTATGTAGTAGTGTAAGTGTGTGCGTAGGTGCATGTGTGCATATGATCTTGTTGTATGGACCCATTTCATTTTATCATTACTATTACTATTATTATTATTATTACTATTACTACTATCTATCTCTTAGTTCTTTGTAATTCACTTTTAATTCAATGAACTTGATGTCTAATTCTCTTCAAAGCTTCTTCTTCTTCTTGTATGTAATTGTTGTAGATCATTTGTCGTATATATATATGAATCTCAATTTTATTTACCATTAATGAATTATGCATTATACATAAACATACATACGCATATTCTATAATTACACTTGTGTATTATATATACCTACATGCATATATTTGGTTTGATTTTTTAAATCTTTGTACACTGGAACCCCCCCCCCCCGCCTTATCACGGTCTTCATTATCTGTCCTCTGTCCCATCCTCTTCTTCCGTATCTGTTAGCTACCAAGCGATTCGCATATGATAGAAAATCTATCGCTCACCTGTTACTACTACTGCTATTATCACTACGGTTTTCTTCTCTCTCTCTCTGTCTCTGTAAGCTTTTTTTTTGTTTGATATTTTGTGGTAAACCGAAGTACCCCCCCTTCCCCTTCCTTTTTCTATTTTGAAACATTCACAAATCACTTACCTTCATATAATGTCTGTCTGTCTGCCTATCTATCTATCTATATATAAATATACTTATTACTCAATAATATACACATATAGTGTTCTCATGTATGTAGTATCCTATGCTATCTCTTGTCTTCTCCACCGCCCCCCCTCGCCTTCTATCTGTTTTTTTATCTATGTTTATATTATCAGGCAATTGTTCTTTTTTGTGTGGATTTACTCTGTCCTAATTCTTCTGTCATATATATTTATCACACACACACACAATTCTGGAATGTCTTTATTCTTTGTATGTATGTATGTGCATGTGTGCTACTAATTTTTATCCCTTTCTTACATCTATCTATTCATCCATCTATCTATCTATCTATATCACCGTCTATTATCCGTTATCTGTGTACAATCTGTGTATTACGTCAAATGTTGTGTATTATTATTATTACTACTATTATTATTATTATTTAGACACCTTTTTTTATTAAAAAAAACTTATTCTTCTGCACAATGTATTTATATTACTTATATATACATATATACTAAATTGGAATCTTTTAATTTCCCTTTCTTTTTCTATCTATCTTCGTAATTAATATATACATTATATATATACACATACACGTATAACACATAAATTACTCTGTTGATATAAAGTCTTACTTTATGAATTATACGAAAGAGTGGGAGATTGTTGTTGTTGTTGTTGTCAGTGTGCCTTGGAACTGGTCTTTCATATTCATTCCAGACTGTGTGAGCCACACTTATTGTCTGTGAAGTAAATTGAATAATGGGTTTTCGAACCTTTGGATCCTTTGATTGCTGCAAAGCAGTCAGTATGACATCTCGCACAGAGAGGTGGTGGTTGTCTGTGTAAATTGTGTTTATTCAAATTTGATAAGTTTAATGCTGTCAATATAGGATGACATACAGCAGTGTTACTACAGAGTGAATTATAGCTTCAGCCTTTGACAGATTTTGCAATTTAGGCATACTTACAGGCGTCTAACACCTGGATTATTTTTTGGCCAGAAGACGGCATTCGAGAGGTTGTTGGCTAAGATGTGTTGTAGCAATTTGTAGTAGTGATTCGAGTGCTCAGAAAGTAATATCGCACTAATCAAGGCGCTGTAATTGAACTCACATAGGCGTGTAGGAGCTTAGTGACAGCTGTCGTCTGAAATGGTGTCCTCCAGGGGGCATCCCTGTAGGATGTATTAATGGAATTGACTGGTGAATAGGGGACTGTGCCGTCGATTTAGAGTATGCGGATGATATTGTCCTCCTATGTGGGGATTCTGATAAATCGGAGTGCTTTTTTGAACACCTTGAACGGAAATCTCCGAATGTTTGACATGCGATTAGCTCTTATGAAACGTAAGATGATGCTGTGGGACTAAACTGCATTGACTCCTGCCTTAATGCTAGAGAGTGACGTGGCGGAGCGTGTTGACCATTTCACTTATTTGGGAAGTTGCATAAGCCTCAATGGAATAATTGATGACTAAATTTCAGTACGGATACAAGAGGCTTGTATAGGATTTGGCGACTTACTACATCTCTGGCGTAGACGTAATATCCGCCTATCGATCAAAGAATGTGTGTACTGCGTAGTAGTTCGCTCTGTCTCCTTTATGGCTGTGACACATAGTCTTGACGGCAAATCTTTATCCTCTATCTCCCATGTTAATTAGTATGATATGGTAATGTTGAGGTTAGCCGTAGTGTTAAGTAAGGAGGAGAAGTGAAGTTGGAAAATTTGAAATAACTGGGACAAATTTCGCATATGCGCCTAATCATCACCTTCCTCGGTAGGCACGTCTAGATGGTATAGGGTTTTGCTGGAAAAGAATTAGGGGTGGGAAGGGGTTAAGCTTGAATCAGTCTGTAAATTCTTCGGCAATTATTTTGAGCCACCTAAGTAGGGGATGTGTGGAGTTCCCGGTTGTGACTCTGAGGATGCTGCTAAGAACCAATGACTGGAAACTTGGTGACACGACACAGAAGCATTCACTCTTTGTGATCTCCTAAAAGCATTGAATCCCCAAGTTTCCCGCATTACAGTTTTTTCTCCCTTTCATTTCTAGTTAGATTAGTACTTTTGAGTTCCTCTTTTCTCTACCTTAGTGCATCACATAGAGTGTGGCAACTCCAAATGCTTTGTTATTATTATTATTGTTTCCTTTAATTCCTACAGGAACATAGGGCTTCAGCCGTGCGTCTCCATTGCGTTCGATTCTCTGCTAGAGTCTACATCTGGCTCCAAGTCTGCCCACACGTTTTCATCTCCTCTTCACATGACCTCCTCCAAGTCACCCTTGCACTGACGACCAACTCGCCGCTTCCCTTGGCTTGTCTAGTGATGTCACTTGATGGTTTCCTCAGAGTATGGCCAGCCAATCCATCTCCATTTCTTCCTGCCTATTTGTTTCACAATCGGTTCCTGCTGGGTTGGTTCGCTCCCAGAGATCTCTGTTGCTGATCTTTTCTGGCCGGCCATCTGGTCTTGAGTATTGAGCGAAGACAACTGTTAATGAAGGTCTGTAGTTTGTTTGAGGTGCTCTTTATGACGCGCCAAGTCTCTGATCCGTATAGTAGCACTGACTTCACATTGGAGTTGAAAATCCGGATCTTATTTTTGATGCTGAGGAGTGCTGTTGACCTCCACACAGACTTGAGAGTAGTGAAAGCTTGTCTTGCTTTTCCGATTCTTGCTTTGATATCCTCGTCAGTTCCGTCCGCCTGTAGTTGAAACGATGCTTCCCAGGTAGGTGAAAGAGGTTGTTTCTTTCAGGTTCGTTCTATTTATGCTGATTGTTGTCTGTTGCTGTTGTTGCTGTTGGTGGTGTTGCCCAGGAATCTTCATCACCTACCTCTGTTTTCTCTATGTTCACCTGAATGCCTATCTTTGATGCTTCTTCTGCCAACTTGTTGCTTTTCGCTTGCATATCTTCCAGTTTGTGGGAAATCAGACATAGCATCATCGGCGAAGTCCAGATCCTCCAAGTTTTTTTGTGTGAGTCCATTTTATGCCTGTTTCCTCATTGCCCGCTGTTTGTCGCATTACCAAATGCTTTACTTAT